TCTCTCTCTCACACACACACACACACACACACACACACACACACACACACACACACACACACACACACACACACAAATTTCAGTAAACAAATTACTTTAATATGATTGTGGTCTAGATATATGTAGTTTACTGCTCAAAGTAGCAGTCATATTTAAATTTATAGGTATTTATTTTTTGGACTCCTTACACTACTTTGAAACGCTGGTACACATGAAATAAAAGTCAGGCTTTTAAAATAGGTTAACCTCATTATGTGGACATGTTAACAATTAACAGAATTATTAATATCAAGGGATGATCAGTGAAGAATCTACACAACACATTATTAACACAACATAGAACTGTGAAGATGTACACTGCAAGAAAGAGAAAAAGGATGCATTGCTGCTTCTTTTGCCTTTTTGGTTTGCAATTGTGATTCACAGGTATTGCTCAAGAAAGCAAAGCCAGCTGACAGTTTTCTTAAATTGGTGGCATTCTGCATTATGCCTTTATAAACATTCCAACAGCTTAAGAAAACATGAGACCTTTTATGTAGTTATTACTTGAAATATTACTGATAAAAATATTGCTTCATCTAAGACAGTTATACTGGGAAATTTAAAAACAGTTTAAAGTGAATTAAGCAGGAAACCTGTGGTTTGTAGTTCTGTATGTTTATGAAAGCTAAAGATCTGATCCTTAACTAAATCAAGGAAGGGCAGAGCTTGGCTGTGGAAATGAGAAACAGTTTACCCTATTTATTTTTGGAACGCCCATTGTGTCAAAGGAGAATTGCAATATTCTTGGACTTCAGCTCTAAAATGCCAAAAGGTAACATTAAAGATTCACAGACAGCAAAGACTCATTTTTGTTTAAAGTGGATCTCATTCAGTAACAAATATAAAAATAGCTGTCGTCTCAAAACCACTTTAAGACCACAGTTTTTCACGTAATGTCAAGTGATACTAATGAAGGACTAATTTTTGGTTTAAGTCATGTTTTTAGTGTCTGACTGTTTTCGAGTGGTGCTAAATGACCCAGATCAACTAGCCTCTGATATAAAAAAAATCCCAGAAGCTCTCACAGAATGCAGAAGATACTTTAATTTATGCAATGAAGCCTAAAACTATACAACCTAAACTTATAAAAACTAAAATATAGTCATTTTCCCAGAAGAAGGACCAGATACTGCCTTTAAAGCACAGGGCTGTGTCGAGGAAAGAGCTGAACTCCAGCATCCCAGGTAGCGCTCTGAATGGCACTGTGCCTCAGGGAGCAACCTGGTGCATAAGAGGGAATTTGCTGCTGCTTTACCCATTGAGAGACTGTAGTGTACATTCCTCTTTGAGGCTAGTCAGCTGTAGTGATCACTACCTCCCATTTGGAGTGGCTTGCGGGACATAAAATGGAGAAGTGTCTGTGCTCAGGAGAGCTTAGGGCCTGCAATGTGACTGGTGTCTGCATGGGGGAAAGGGAAGGTTTTTTTAAGCTTCCATACATTCTTGTGCACCTGCACATAGCCAGCCACAGTATGACCCTATGTATAAAGCATTAAAAAAACCCAAAACAAAAAAACACCATTCTGGGGGGAATTAAGTAGGTGAAGGGAATTTGGCAGATTTTCTATTCAGATAGATGGTTAAGACAGGTAAACACTTTGGAGCATATACAGATTTGGAACAATCATACCAGAACAATTTTATTTGAAATAAGTGTAGAGAAAGAGATATAAGGAATACATTCCTGAGCTCTTTGGTTGACAAAGTAGTTGGCAAGATAAAAATGATAATTCTAAGATGCAAAAATGCTCTATATGTGTGTGAGTCTCGCATAATGTCCCCAATAGTCTGGGCAAAAGATCAAATACCATGGTATATAAACCGGTATATAACGGGAAAAAAAATCAGGGAAAGACAGTGGTATTAAGCCACATCAATGATAGTATGGAAAAGTGCCACCCTAATACAGATCTCCCAAATGCATCAAGTTGAGACAGGCACAGTGGCTCTGTGAGCACAGGGTAAACAAAGCAACTGCTATTATAGCCTCTTTTCTTCTTACTCTGTTTGGGCAGGCTAGCATCTCTAGAGATGGCGACCTGAAGCACTGAGCACAAGGATTGCCACTGTGCTGCCCTGAGCAGGGGTGCAGGGAGTGGGAAAGAAAGCTCTGAATTCTCTCACTTGTGCAGGGTTGGGCACAATCTGGTCCCTAGAGAGAAAATTAACACTTTAATGGATCAATACAAGGAAGATAGTACAGCTGTCCCAGTTTTTTAACAACTCCTTGAATTCTGAAACAAGCAGTGGTTCCAATGATTGTTTCTGGTTACAAAGGTTACAGTAACCAAATAACTGTAAAACTAATATTTTCAGTTAGGAGATGTGCTGCAATTCTGGCAACATTCAGAAAACAACACTCGAATCTCTTTGGTATTTGACTCAGACATATCAATATGAAAATATGATATTCTCAGACCTCCCGGTAGTCATTATGTGAGGAATTTCAAAGTTAGAAAAAATAATGAAATACTAAGGTATCTGATCCAGTGTTAAAAGGGCAATTTGTTGTTTGCTCATTACAGGAAAATAGGGTCTAACATACAAGTTTTATAGTGTTTCATGTGTGGGGTGCATTGCAATGAACAATTAGTACTTTCAGAACACGTCCTGAAGAACAGTAGCATGGATAAAGTAAAGTGGCAGTGAAAAGGTTGGTATAGTATAATATGGTATTGAATGTATATAAACGTAAGATGTTAAGAGTGGAGAATTGACAATAAAGTAAAGATTGAAGCCTTTGTGTAGACCAGAAAAATAGATTGTTTTAAAAAATGTTAGCTAAAGTTCTTTAACTAACGCAATTTTAAATAGGACTTTGTACCTCATGTAGGCAGGTTGTTTTTAATAATGTGTTACCTGATCATAGTTAAACATAGGAGGAAGCTGCTAACTTGTTCAGAAGCATGAGGATTATTCCAATCCTACATGCTGGACATGGTTAGAATTATGCAAAACTTCCATGAGGCAACTAGTTAAAATTAATCTGATTTTGCATTTTGTTACAAACCCTACAATTGGCACAGATTTGCCAAAAGCATGCCCGAATCTTTTGATGAACCTAGACCAAGTTTCAGGTAAAATCCCTCCAGAGAGGTCATGAATTTATGATTCTGAGTGGAAACCACACAATGTTTCAGCTGGATCTCAACATTCTTTTCCCTATAGTTGGAAACTGCTCCTATATAGAACTAAAGGCTGAGGGAACATTCTTAAGAATACCCCTTTGCAGAGAGCTATAACAGGGGTAGGCAACCTATGGCACGCGTGCCGAAGGCGGTACGCAAGCTGATTTTCAGTGGCACTCACACTGCCCAGGTCCTGGCCACCGGTCTGGGGGGCTCTGCATTTTAATTTAATTTTAAATGAAGCTTCTTAAACATTTAAAAAACCTTATTTACTTTACATACAACAATAGTTTATGGGTATTCACCCACGAAAGCTTATGCTCCAATACGTCTGTTAGTCTATAAAATGCCACAGGACACACTGTCGTTTAACAATAGTTTAGTTATATATTATAGACTTATAGAAAGAGACCTTCTAAAAACATAAACATTTATTACCGGCATGCAAAACCTTAAATTACAGTGATTAAATGAAGACTCGGCACACCACTTCTGA